AAATGTTTACCTCTAGCCAGATCCTACCACTGAACTCCAAAAGAGAAGATCAAATTGCCTAGCTGACAATGCCTACTTGGATGTCTTGGACATCCAAATTTATCGTGTCCAAAATGGAACCCCTGATGTCCACCACCACCCCAAGCCAACAAAAACCTGAGTCCTTCTCAGTCTTTCACACATTAGTTAATGACCACTCAAACTTTGCTCAGGCCAAATGTCTTGGAGTCACCCTGGACCACTCTTTCTCTTCATGTTCCCTTCCCCACCTGATCCACCAGAAAATCCTGTTCACTCCACCTGCAAAGAAATCTGGATGCTGACCACTTCCCAGCGCTTTCGCTGTCCACACCCTGAAGCAAACCAACACCTCTCACCTAGATGATTGCCAAACCTCTTAACATTTCCCAAAGTCTGCTCTTGGTCTCTCTGTAGTCTGTTCCCCACAAAAGAGTCAAAATGGGGGTTTGAAAAAGGGTATTGGAAAAAAAAGCAGAGTGCCTTTTCTGCCCCAAAGGGACCCCCGTCTCACTCAGTGGAAAAGTCAGGGTCCTTACTGTGATCTAAAGCTCCTATGTGCTGTGTCCTCCTGTCTTTTGTCTGACCTCGTAAACTCCCATTGTCCCCTCATCCATCTGCTCAAACTAGTCTTCTCATAGTTCCTCCAATGCACCTGGTGAGTTCCCACCTTAGGGCCCTTGTTGCATCATCAGTCTCTGCACAGCCAGCTCCCTCCTCTCCTTCTGGGCTTCTCTCCATGCCACCTTCTGACTGAGGTCTTCTCTGGCCATTCCGTCCAAAATCTCACGCACAACCCCACCCTGACTGTTCACATCTCCCTTCCCTGCTTTTATTTCCTCCACCAACTACCTACCATTCTGTATGTCCTATTCCATTATCTTATTACGTCTTCCTTACTAGAATGTGAGCTTCATGAGGGCAGAGAATTTCATCTCTTTTTCTTTTTCTACTGCTAGATCCCTGGTGCCCAGAGCGGTGTATGGCACGGAGTAGGGTCTCGATGAGTCAGTGTTGAGAAAATGCAGGCAGGCAGGAAGGACATTCGTAGGGGGATCAAACCCGTGACACTTGGGTCATCAAGTATGTTTTGGATGCTGCATCGGCGGCAGAGCTGTGCTGAGCCGACTGGAGTCTGAGGTCAAAGTAAAAATCAATAACTCTGCTCCTATCCTTATTTGAGATTTCCATATTTTGTTCATTATGGATATTTTGCATTCTTTAAAATTATTTTTAACAAATTAATTTATTTTTAAGTAAGCTCTATGCCCAACATGGGCTTGAACTCACAGCCCCAAGATCAAAAGCCCCATGCTCTACCGACTGAGCCAGCCAGGTAACCCTGCACTGATTTTTAAAAAATATTATTTATCTTGATTACTGAGGGTTTTTTTTTTTTTTTTTTGGTGGCTCCTTAAATTTTGTACTCAAGGCCCAGAGAGGCCCCCTAGTCCTGGCCTTGGCACTTTTAAGAGTGCTTGTGACATGTGATCTTTTGATATAATGAGAAATAATAATTGGCCTTCATCGCTGGTTCCTGGCACAGAGACCTTTAACTCCTGTAATTTCCTGAATGAAAGAAATGAGAGGAGCATCTTTTGTTATTCATAATAAGCACCTTTCAAAGGTACCTGAGTTTATGCTAATGAGCTGAGTCTTGGAGGGTCCCTAGAGAGCTGCTGGGTGGGGCCTGGCCCCCCCACCTCCCACCCCCCACTCCAGAGAAAACAACCATGTCGCCAGAGAGTTGGAATTTTGGGTTCCACCACCCATTGCCAGTGATTTTATCGATCATGCTTCCAGGATGGTTGGTGAACATATCCACATGCTGGGAGCATGAGACACCCAACTCCACAGGAATAGAAGCTCTGTGCTTGGGACCCTTTTGGACCTCGTTCCATGTACCTCTTCATCTGGACGTTCATTTGTATCCTTTAAAATATCCTTGATAATAAACCTGCAATAGTAAGTAAAGTGTTTCCTTGATATTCTGTGAGCCTTTATAGCAAATGATCAAACCTGAGGAGGTGGTTTATAGCCAGTGAGTCACAGGTATGGATGGCCCAGGGCTGATGACAGGCATCTGAAGTGGGGGGCCATCTTGGGGACTGAGCCTTCACCTGTGGGGTCTGTGCCACTAATACTCCCACCATGGTGGAGTTCAAGTTACCAATGTGACTTCAACTGGCTCATAAAATTCCTGAAAATCCAACAGTTGGCTCTCATGAGCCAGTATGAATGGCCTCATCGAACCACTGGAGACATAGTTTATTAAAAATAAAAGCATTAAAGATGATAAAGAACAAATGTCCGAGGATTTGCACAGAGACCTTTGGTTAACAGATTTTTAGTTAGAAAAAAGAGAAAGTGATATGTAAAAGGGAAAGAAAAAGATAGAAATAGCACCTAATTGATTTAAAAAAAAAGGACTTTCCTAAAAGATCAACCCAGACTAATTTCTTTTCACTGAGTCATTTTTAGCATGATGGACAGAGGCTGGTAGAGACAATGGGTATTTAGAGATGGGCTTGTGTTGTACTATTTAGCAACTTCTTGTGTGCTGAGAACACCTGTTCTAAAATGGGGTTGCACATGAGGGATTTTGTGATTGTATTGGCTACTTTGCCTGCCTTCTGTTTACATTTGGAAGCATGGCATTATCCACTGGAGGTCAACAAATGATTCTGGCAATCAAGGCAACTTACTCCGTAGAATCAGGGAAGTGAAGAATGACAAAAAGTGGGACGAAGGGATTTTTCTATATGAAGCTCATCGGGGCTTGCTAATTAGAGCTTACTACCCTCCTGCAGAAGCTGAGAATCTGGGGCCCTATCTTCAGAGTTGGTTGGAACAAACAGTGAATTCTTTTGGCAGCCTTGAGTTTTCTCAGGCAGGCACTTTAAGGGAGTCCAGCATCATCCTTGGAAGACGGCCTTGAGTTGTTATAAACTGTATCAGTGTTTGTTCAAGTCTTTAGAGGCCAAGATTGAGGCCTTGTTGAGGGGAGGGCTCAGAGGGGCCTGGCTGGAGAAGCCATGTCACCTGGCAAACATTCGAGCAGATAGTCCAGGCATTCTCCTCTCTTTTCAGGCCCCAAGTCACAGAGGGCTGGGTCTCTGACTTCATGAAGATGGTGGCCAGCGGCCTTGTCCACAAGCCAAACTTGTCTTCTCTTGTAGGGCAAGGGAGTTTTCCTTCTCCTTGGTGCTACCCTTAGAGCTGAAATGACCCTCTGTGCTGGTCCCTGGGGGAGACCATATCCTTTGGCAATGCTTCGGGTGGAGGGTTCCTACAGGAAGAGCCTCACCTTCTGGGACTGCTGGATGCAAAAGCAAATTCTTCTTTTTTTTTTTTTTAAGATTTTATTTTATTTATTTGAGAGAGAGAGAGAGTGCACAAGAGGGGGTAGGGTCAGAGGGAGAAGCAGGCTTCCCGCGGAGCAGGGAGCTCAATGCAGGACTCGATCCCGGGACTCTGGGATCATGACCTGAGCCAAAGGCAGTTGTTTAACCAACTGAGCCACCCAGGCGCCCGCAAAAGCAAATTCTTCCAAGACACCTGTCACCGTAGATCAGGCCTGCTTTTGGAGTTTGAATAAATGGACTTGTGCAGATTTACTCTTTCTTTCCTGGATTTTCTCTGCTCACATGAGCGTTTGTGAGATTTATGCGTATTGTTGTGTGTTGAAATGGACCCCAAAACGTGCCCTGGGGGCCACAGGAACCTGGCATCAGGGGCAGGACTGCCGATGGTGACGCATGATCCCCACAGCTGCTCCTCTGGCCCTTCTGCAAAGACAGTCTCTGCCCCACTTTACAGATTATGATTCTAAAACTAATACATGCTTAAAACGCCCAAAACTTTCAACAGTATAGAAAGGTAAAAATTTTAAAGTAGAAGTCCCTTTCTGCTTGCATAATTCATGCAAATCCACTTCCCAGTCATAATCACTGGCTCTGCTGCTAAATGATAGCGTACATTTATTGAGGAGTTCCTATATGTCAGGCATGTTCCCAAGCATTTTACAGCGATTATTTTATGAAGACTTGTTATGTGTTCTTCCCAAGCTCTTACAGGGATATACACATATCCTTTTCATCTTAAAGTGTTTATGCTCTCATATTGTTAGTGAACTTGTTCTTTTCACTTAGAGGGTATCTTGGAGAATTGCGGTGGTTGCTATCCCAACGGGAAGAAGAGAGACTTCCCTGGAAAGGCCAGCCAATGAAAGACTGTCACGCTCAGCCAATGAGAAGCTATTACACTCTGAGCTCCCAGTTTATTCCAAAGGACTTTTTGTTTATAAAATCCTTCCCGGTCTCCCCTTTTCTTCTATAAATAAGACCTCCCCTCCTTTGTTCTGGGGACTTGCATCTGATTTTGCCATAGCTCATTTGTCCGGGATTGCAATTCTCTGCTATTTCCGAATAAACCCATTTTTGCTACTGAAATAGCTGGCACAAGTCACTTAGCAAACCCTATATCCAAAGGGGAGGAGGTAAGCTCCTCTCCTGGAGGAGGTAGTAACTACCCAATTATTTGGAATTCTGTGCTGGGAGAGCTCTCTCCTCCCCCCATGCATTTACTAATTTATGTGTATTAAAATGTTTCCGGATATATGAATAACACAGCTGAAGAAACTTATTTCTTTTGCCTTTGGAGGATCTCCCTAACCTCCCACCTCAAAGGCAGGCTAGCTCTGGGAGTTGTTTTTCCCCAGGGAGCCGCAGGGCAGTGACAACCAAGACGGGGGTCCCCAAGTCCCTGGGCGGAGGGTGGAGGGGCACCAGGGCGCTGGGGTCAGCGGCTTGCGGTCCAGGATGCTGCGGCCTTGGGCCCCAGAACCCACTCGCCTTCCATCTGCTCTGGCTTCGCGAACACTCCTCGGCTGTGGCGCTTGGAAAACAGTTCTCGGGGTGCGGGGTCCCTCCAGACATCAGGAATTGCCGCCAACTCCTTCTTTGTGCAACGCCCTCCCGGGCGCAACAGGCGCGGGCGCGGCGGCGCGCGCGGGACGTCGGGAGCGCGGCGTGCTGGCGGCGTCGGCGGCGTCGGCGGCCGCAGCAGAGGCAGTTGCTGCGCCGGGTACTGAGGTCGCTGTGTGAGGCGCAGGCGCGGTGGACTCCGCCTTCCCCGGGCTCCGGCTCGCTGTGGGCTAGTCATGGCGACCGAGGCGAGGCCCTTCCACCTGGTGGTGTTGGGCGCGTCTGGCTTCACCGGCCAGTTCGTGGCCCAGGAGGTGGCCCGGGAGCAGGTGGTCCCGGAGCGGAGTCCCCGCCTGCCCTGGGCCGTGGCGGGCCGCTCCCGGGAGAAGCTGCAGCGAGTGCTGGAGAGGGCTGCCCTGAAGCTGGGTAAGGGGGGCGGGGCGGCTTCCCGCTCGGTCCAGGGGTTCGGGTCGCCAGCAGCGAGCGTTTGTCCTTGGGGGGGGTGTACCCCGAGGGCTGCCGGGGCCCGCCGGACGTCAGGAGCGGTGCTTGGGGATGTCGTGGCTTTGTGCCACTCCCCACACGAAGCACAGCAATAAATGCATGTCTCCTCTGTTGAATTCCCTCGTTGGCGTGGTGGGTCCCGCTGGCCAAGCAGCCGAGGACTTCAGTTCTTCCCTGGCCAGCCCCGTCTCCCTCTAGAGCAGGGGTCCCTGGTGGGGCTGGACGGTTCTTGGTCATGGGGTCGGACGGGAAAGGAGGACATTGGTTTCCTCGGGACTGTTTGTCCTCTCCCCGCCTTGGGTTTTGGCGGTGGGCGAGGAAGCTTCCCAGGTTTTGGTAACGTTGTGGCCTTCGTTTTTCAGTTTCTTTTTTGCTTGTAAGAATTCGCCAGCGGGCTTACTCTTTGCTGCGTTTACTTAGTCTTTTAGCATTCGTTCATCATAGTTTTACTGCGTGGTCTTTTCCGTGCCGGGTCCTGTCCTAAGTGCTGGGGATACGGATGTGACCCAGCGAGACCGCACACACACATTTAGGACTCAGGAGCCATTAACTGTGGCTCCTTGCCACCCGAGTGCCCCCCATACAGACAAATGCACCTGCATTTTTCTGTTTCATCTTCATCTCACTTCTGATTCCACACTGAGCCCTTTTGCTGCCACCACCAATATACAGAGTCTTGATCAAAGAGCTTTTTGGTGTTTTTTGTTTGTTTTACTTTTGCAGAAGAAATAATTTCACTGTTAAAATATATTCTTCCATTTCTTTTTCCTGCTCAACAAGACTGTACAGGTGCAGCCTACCCACCTAGCATTTGTAATGCCCAGGTTCAGTTATTGTGGGAAATACACTTTGATCCATCAAACCTGCATTCTGCTAATTCCAGTGATTTTCTTCTTATAAGCCTATAATGAGTGTTCTTACCTGGACTGTGCTTTCTACCTCAGAGTCCTTTTTTGTTCTCATGTTGATGTTAAGAACCCCTTTTTACCCCCGTATTTTGTCATATGTAATTGGCTAGTAGTTGATGAGGAACTTTTTATAATGGATTCTTGGTGGAGAGGAAATCAGGACATTCATCTATTCAGTATCTAAATGATTGTAAAATTGTCATTTTACACAGGGTTATCGTTTGCACGTTGCTTAAGTTAGATTTTTAAGTTTAATGATGTTTTTTTCCTAGCAATCCGTAGTGTTAACTCCATTTTCTTCATAGCTTTGTCTGTTTTTTTATTACCTAATTTTAAAAAGTTTTATATCTTGTCAGTATATTTAGTAAATCTGCCATCCCTGATTACTATAAAAACAATCTGGAAGATCTAATACTGTATCAGGATTTGCTTCAAACAATTATTTCTTATTTCAGGAAGACCGACACTCCCATCCGAAGTTGGAATAATAATTTGTGATATCACGAATCCAGCCTCACTAGATGAAATGGCTAAACAGGCAGCAGTTGTCCTCAATTGTGTGGGACCAGTAAGTCATCCACCCCGTTTTGTGTCCAAACAAACAGTGTATTCATTTCCAGCAGAATCTGGTATTTGATATTCCAGAGGAACATAAGGACGGGACAGAAGAGTTGGTTCAGGGCTTCAGCCCCGTGTGGGGGAGTTTTCACTCCTTGTGAGGAGCCAGTGGATGTGACCAAAGTCTCCTGAGAGAGAGACGGGCTCTTTGTGACACCACCTCAGGGCCTGGGTGCTGGTTCCTTCATTGGTTACAGCTATAACTGCCAGCTTTTTTTTTCTTACAGAATGCTTCTTAAGTAAAAAATGCTTGAGCATATACCCCTAATATATTTTTTACTTATTGATAAATGATATTCCTGTATTATTTATTCAATACATATTCATTGAATGTTTGTTACATGTAAAGTGCTCTAGTGTGGGTACCTGGGACATAAGGGTGAACAAAACTGAAAATCCCTCATGGAGCTTACAGTCCAGTGGGTGAGACAGAAAAATAAGGTTATAGTTGTAGGTAGTGATAAGCGCTTTGAAGAAAAATCAAGCAGGGTAAGGAGACAGAGAGATTGGCGCATGAGTCTGTGTGAGGTGGATGGTCAGGACCTGACATTTGTGTCGAGCCCTGAGTGAGGTGAGGGGGTGAGCTGCGGGAGTAGTTGAGGAGAAGGTTGCTCCAGGGAAGGGCAGCTACAGACGTCCCGAGATGAGCATGTGTTTGAGAGAGGGCAGAGGTGGGAAGGTAGGTGGGAGAGGAACCCAAGAGTTAGGTCAGAGGGTTTGAAGTATGGTAGAGTCTTTGAATGGTTGAAAGCAAGAGCATGTGCTGACTTACAGTTTTGTAGTTCTTTGTCTTCTGAGAGAGGAAAAAGGGGAAATGGGAGACCCGCAGGGGAATGGTCTAGGCAAGCCGAGCACAGGATGGGGGTTGGAAGGGTGGTGAGAGCGGTTGGGGTCAGGATGCTTTGAGAGGAAAACCACCGGCTTTTGTTGTTCTGGATGTGGAGGACACACTTGTGGTCCGTGTCACAGGGTGAGTGTTGGTGACATTTACTGATCTGAGGAAGCCATCACAATTGCCAAAACATTTGAAAACTAAGCATCTAGGAGATTGATAATAGTGTTTTAGATGAAAACAGAAAGGTTTTTTGATTATCCAGTAAAAATGTATTTAAATTGTTTAGATTAATCTCATTCCTAATTATTCCTAATTAGCTTTGGTTCTGTGCTCTCTTGCTGCAACCATTCTCTTATGTATATCCTTGGCCAACCTCCTTGCCCTTCCCACCCCAGTGCTCTGGAGAAACCCAGAACTGGTGTGTGTGTGTGTGTGTGTGTGTGTGTGTGTGTTTTATTTATTATTTATTTTTTAAGTTAGTTTCAGAGGTAGAGTTCAGTGATTCATCAGTTGCCTATAACACCCAGTGCTCATTACATCATGTGCCCTCCTTAATGCCCGTCACCCAGTTACCCCATCCCCTACCCCCTCCCCTCCAGCAACCCTCAGTTTGTTCCCTAGAGTTCAGCATCTCTTATGGTTTGCGTCCCTTTCCATTTTCACCTTATTTTTCCTTCCCTTCCCCTATGAGCCTCTGTTTTGTTTCTTAAATTCCACATGTGAGTGAAATCATATGGTATTTGTCTTTCTCTGGCTGGCTCATTTCGCTTAGCATAATGCCCTCTCGTTCCATCCATGTCGTTGTAAATGGCAAGATTTCATTCTTTTGGATGGTTGAGTAATATTCCATTGTGTGTGTGTATATATATATACACACATACATGCGCATATACACATGCGCACATATATACATACACACGCACATACACATGCACATATACATACCACCATTCATCTGTCGGTGGACATCTGGGCTCCTTCCACAGTTTGTCTATTGTGGACATTGCTGCTATAAACATTGGGGTGCAGGTGCCCCTTCGAATCACCCAAACTGATTTTTCCAGCTATTCCAGCTTTGTGTACCTTACCTGAACTTGAACCCCTTCTTAGCCAGTAATCCAGTAGCTCTGTGTGTTTGGAGAAAAGTATATTCCTTTCCTGACAGTCCTGCTTTAAATATGTGGTGACAAACCTCATGTGGGGCCTTAGCACCTCCAGCAACCCTGCTCCACTTGCCCAGACTGTTCTCTCTCCTGCTGTCTGAAGCAGCAGCTCTGTGTCCTTTTTCTTCATGTTTTTAGCCTCCCATCCCTCTTTCCTTACTCATCTGATGATTTTATTTCCTTTTTTTTTTTTTTACTATGACATTAGAGGCTGTTGAAAGAGAATTTCTTCACCTGCACACCTGCATTACCTTGACTCTGCCCTACCTTTTTTGAGGAAAAACTGTCCCTGCTCCTCATGGGTGCAGGATTTGGCGACCTCATGTTGACATTTTTATCACATTTTCCCTTCTACTGGACTGTTTCTGTGCCCCCTTTTCAGCTAAACTCCTTGAAATCGTTCTCTCTCCTCCTATATCCACTTCCTCAGCTCCCACTCTATCCTACGCCACTCTTGCCAGGCCTCTGTAAGCCTCCCTGCTTCAGGGAGCCTGCTCTGCTTCGCCCTCACCAGCTCCTTGCGCTCCCCTTGATCCGAGCTCTCAGCATTTGTCCCCCTCGGTCATGTCCTCCTGCTTTTGGCTTCTGGGATCTGGCCCTTCCCTGGTTTTCTGCCAGCTCTGTCCCCATCCCATCTGTTGGATCTTCTCATCTTCCTCTAAGTATCCGAGGCTCAGAGCTTGAGCCTTATAAGCTCTTCTCTGTTTACACTCTCTGAGCCAGGCTTTTAAAAAATATATTATTAGTATTGTAATAAAATACACATAACCAAAATGACCATTTTAGCCATTTCTCAGTGTACGAATCAGTGGCATTTGGTACATTGACAGTGTTGTGTAACCCTCACCATCTTATCTCCAGAACTTGTCATCATCCCAGACAGAAACTCTAACTGGGTCAGGTTTGTTTTCGTTTGTGGTTTTTTTTTTGAAGAGAGATCTTTGGTGCTTCCTTCTTGACTATTTTGGGCCAGCATTTTTGAACAGCTTAGTGTAGTGAGTGAGACTCAGCATTAAAAAGAAAACGATCAGATAGCCTAGAATAGAAAGCGTGAATTCTATGTAATATGGGTAAGTGTTGGTTCATGAAACTTGTGTTTCAGTTTGATATAATTTAATTTGTGTACATATTGGCTGCCATGTGAAGTGGATTTCTCAGCATGGGTTGTGGTCAAAAAGGTTTTGAATGCCATTTGTATGTTGATGATGCCTACATTACTTCCAGTGAGGACTACCCCCTAAACTCCAGATTGATAGATCCAGCTGCCTTCTTGGTGTTTCCACTTGAATGGTTCACGGGCATCTGAGTCTCTAGGTTTTTGCCCCCAGACCTGCTCCTTCCTAGGCTCTCCTGGGATTGGCATTTTTCACTTTGCCAGTTTGGGATCATTACTGGTTTCTTTGCAGGTTTTTGTTTGTTTTTACTTCTTTGTCCATTTTGTGAAGATTTATTTAGTTAAAAAACAGATGATATCTCTAAAACTACTTAGGCATGTGTAAACAAGCATTAGGTTGAAATATACCTGAAATTAACGAATTAGGGAGTTGCTGTGGGCCCCTGTGTGTGTGGGCCGCTCCCAAGCTGCCCTCAGAGTCCCTTGTGTAGCTTTCATTCAACAAGGGACCATGTCATGTGGCCCAAGGAACGTGCCCAATCAATTCATGTATTAACTGTTAATAAACATCATTTTTTTCTTTGTGTTTCCTATAAAAAGTAGCATGAATAAACATACTGATATTTCCATAACTGAGGGAATGGGTCTGTGGGCCCCTTGATGCAAGCCTGCCCACGTAGGAGACCCCCGTTTTAGAACATGGAATGCTGAGAATAGTATTCAGTTTTGATCTGTAAGCTAATTGGCTTTGCTAGGGAGAAATGTCTCCTCTGAGATCAAGAATTGTTACCGTTTGTCCATTTATCTCATAAAAGCACAAGGGTAGAAAGTAGAGAAAAACCAAAAAAAAAAAAAAAAAAAGTATTAATATAAGGACGTTAGTGCCGAAGTCTCAACCTCAGATTGCCTGGAGGAGAGAGAAGGTGGGCCAGTTGAGACAGAATACAATGTGGGGAGTGGGGGGATTGTGGCGAATATGGAGGCGCATACTCTTTCCAGAAGGAGCTGTTATTATTTCAAAAAGCTCATTAATGCTTTACTGCAGCTCTCCAGTACTTCTAGATAAACCAAGTGGCTGACAGGCTGTAGCTCACTATCTGAGCGTGGGGAGTTAACCCAAGGCCAGAAGGCTGATACTGGAGGGGTCAGGAGCTAGCCTGGCAGCCGGAGCAGAGGAGGGGGCTCCAAGTAGTGGAGGGTGAAGAAATAGTCTGATTAGGAGACTATAGGGAGTTGAGAGCTGCTGGAATATGGGGATGAAGGGGTTGTGGTGTGACCTGATGCTTTTTGTGACATGCTAAGAAGATTGGACTTTACACTATAGTAAATACAGGCACTGTGGAGCTAGTGAAGGATTTTAAGAGATATACATGTGTATGTACACACGTGCCTGCGTGCCTGTGTGTGTGTGTGTGTATGTACGTGATGGAAGCAAAGATGACATCGGGTTTTTATTTTAGAATAATAATTCGGTGTTTCTTTGGACATGGGGCTACCTTGGCTGCAGGGAAGCCAGTTACTATGTGTAGTAAATCGCATGAGAGGTGGTAAGGGTGTGAACTCAGATTTGGATGTGTAGAGGGGAGGGAACTGATCTGAGATTTTTAGGGAACTAATTCGATAAAACTTGGTGACTTCCAGGGTAGGTGGAGTCAAAAACAGCTTCTAGGTTTTTCACTTGAGAATTTTGTGGAGAGTGATGCCATTCATAGTAACAAACTTTCCCCTCTTCCTGTTAGTCTTTATTTTGGCCAATAGGACCAGTAGCCCCCGTGTCCCTTGGCCCCCCTGTCTGTTTAATCAGCAAGCCCAGTCATTTCTACCTCTTTAATAATCTCATCCTTGGTGTATCCATCCCCTTCTTAGTTTAGCCCTTTGTCATTTCTTCCAGCCACGGGTTTTGTTTTCTAGTAGTGTAGGCAGAGTGACGTGTGTTTTCTATAATAGCCTTACACCACTGTCCTATTTACAGTTCTCCAGGAGAGCCTAGTAATCCTCATCTGGCCCCAGCGTTCCTTTCCAGGCCCATCTCTAGTCACTTCCCTTTCAACTACTCTGAGCTTTGGGTGCCCTTACCCTTTCTCACACCTTCACATATACTTTTCCCTTTTCTGGATTTTTCTTTTTCCTGGCAAATCCTTATTCTTCAGAATTCAACTCAAATGAATCACTTGTTCTATAAAACTTTCCATTTGGTTTTCAGTTAGAGGTTAGCACACGTTCCTTTTTTTTTTTTTTTAAAGATTTTTTATTTATTTATTTGACAGAGAGATAGAGAGCACAAGTAGGCAGAGTGGCAGGTAGAGGGAGAGGGAGAAGCAGGCTCTCTGCGAGCAGGGAGCCGGACGTGGGGCTTGATCCCAGGACCCCAGGATCATGACCTGAGCCGAAGGCAGTCACTTAACCAACTGAGCCACCCAGGCGCCCCGCACACATTCCTTTAATTCCATCATGCCTTCCTTTACACTGAGAAGTGGCATGGCGCCGTTACGTGATTTTCCTCAATTTATCTTTCAGCTCCTTTATCAATATTTGATTATTAATAACCAAGACTGTACTTGCAAAACTCAATGGCATTTCATTCATTTAAGATTGCTAAGTAAGGGGCGCCTGGGTGGCTCAGTTCTGTGTCCAACTCTTGATTTAGGCTCAGGTCATGATCTCAGGGTCGTGGGATCAAGCCCCAAGTTGGGCTCTGCGCTCAGCCCAGAGTCTGTGTGAGATTCTCTCTCTCCCTCTGCCCCGCCCCCCTATGTGCATGCATTCTCTCTCTCAAATAAATAAATAAATCTTTAAGCTTGCTAAGTAAGAGTAAACGGTTGGTTTTCTTTATTCCCCCCAGTATCGACTTTATGGAGAACCTGTAGTAAAAGCATGTATCGAAAATGGAACCAGCTGTATTGACATCTGTGGAGAACCTCAGGTATGTAAAATGAAAAAGAAAGAATGGCATTAACAACACAACTTCCTGTTGGAGTGGAAAATATTTAGTGCCGTCTTGCAGACTATTTTAGAAGTTGGTGACCCCTCCCTTGTGCTGACGGCTTGAAGGAGAGTACGATGGTCAGGTCTTTTCTTCTGTTTTCTTGAAGTTTTTTCTTCCTTACCACCTCGTTTATTCCAGCTCTTTTGTATGTAGGATGTGCTGGTTTCTGGCTGCCGCGTGCTGTGCGAGGGTTTAATTAAAATGGTGTGCTGTGTGTAAATTCTTCGAATCTCACTTTCTCATAATGAATTCCCTTTTTGTCGTCAGACACCTTTATAACAATACAGAAAAGGAAGTGTAAAATCCTACAAACGTAAACATTTTAGATATTCACACTCGAGTGCTCATCGCACACCCGACGCTCTGCTAATACAGCATTTTATGTCATCTGAATGTTCCACATTCCCATAAAGTCGGTATCGTCTTGCCCATTTTGTAGATGAGGAAACTGAAGCTGAGGGGGGTTAAGTCATGCAGCTCAGAGCCCTACCACCACTCAGTAGAAGAACAGGACTCCAACTGAGGTTTGCCTGGTTGCAGGAAGTGGATGTCAGTAAGCACCAAGCTACCCCAGCTCCTCGAAAACCGTCACCTCGTCTGTCCCCGCGGTCTCTGCTGTTATCATCACCAGTATGCCAATATAGGAACGTACTGGAAAATATTAGGGAAGTGTAAATTACCAAAACTGATTCAAGAAGAGGTAGGAAACCTGAATGAAACAGAAACCAATTCCTGTCTTATTTAAAAAAAAAAAAAAAAAATCCCAGAGCAAAGAAAATGATGAAACATTTCTAAGGTATCCTATAAACTACAATAAAAGTGATATCAAAACCTAATAAAGATCCAGACTATATAAAGGACTCTTAAAAGGCAATAATACAAATTCAAATCACCCAATTAAGAATGGGCAAAGGGATGAGTAGAGACAAATTTTCTGTGCAGAAGAATCCCAAAAAGAATCCCATGAGCATGACCCATCACCCCTTCTTTGGGCACCACACATGGTCACTCCCTCCCCAAGAGAACAGTACGGATGGGAGGGAAGGAGAGATTAACTGTGTGGTGGTGAAACCTGACAAATACTGCCGGGTGTTTAGGGCCGCCATCCACACTGATAAGTCACGGTGATGGTATGTACCCTTGATAGACTGTCACGAAAGGCACTTTACCCCTGCGGCCTCCCCTCCCTCCTCAAAGCCGTAATCCCACGCTAGTCAGGAGAAAAATTCCAGTAGAGGGGCACGCTACAAAATACCTGATCAAAAGTTCTCAAAACCGTCAGGGTCCTGAGAGTCTGAGGAGACTGTCACAGCTTCCAAGAGGAGCCTTGGGACACATGACAGCTAAATGTAATGTGGGATCCTGGTGGAGAAAAAGGACATTAGGTAAAAACTAGGGAAATCTGGATAAAGTATGGTCTTTAGCTAATGATAATGTTCTCAATATTGGTTCATTAAGTGTGGCAAATGTTAAATGGAAACGCTCTAACAATAGGAGAAACTGGGTCGGGGTACATGGGAACTCTCCACTACTCAAATTTTCTGTGAATCTAAAACTGTTCTAAAAGTAAGTTGTAAAAACAGGCAGAGGATTTGAACAAACATTCTTCTCTTCCATCCCTCCTCTCCTACCACTTTCTTCATCCTAACTAAATACATGTGTGCCGATCCATGTCTCTAATAATGTCCCTCTGAGGAATACGATGTGGGTGATGTTTTCTTGCTGCTGTCTTTGTATTTTTTTGCATATTAATTTAGCTTTTCATAATACTACTTTTGCATTTAAAACTCATTCTGAAAAAGTTACTAGTGTCATTAAGTCAGATCAGCCTGTGCCCCACACTACTTGGCATGTGGTAACAGTAAATATTTGCCAAGTAAGTGAAAAACATTTCCACAGTTAATATTTCACTAAAAGCCACATTGGTTAGCATTTTAAAATGTAATTGCTTTGTCTTTTAAGGTCTATCATTTAATGCTCATTTAAATGTTTCTGTATAGCTCTGATTCAGATTTTTGTCCTGAATTTTTTAGTTTCTGGAATTAATGTATTGGAAGTATCATGAGAAAGCTGCAGAAAAAGGGTCTTATATCATTGGAAGCAGTGGTTTTGACTCCATTCCAGCAGATCTGGGCGTAATATATACCAGAAATAAGATGAACGGTAACTATCAACCACTAAGCACTAATTGAATTTAACAATAGAAAATCTTCATGTTTATAACTGTGATGAACTAAAAACTAGTTGGGAAGAGAAACATAACTATAAATGGGTAAAGTTAAACACGTGATTTGTTCAGGGCACCTGGGTGGCTCAGTGGGTTAGGTATCCAGATCTTGATTTTGTCTGGGTTGTGATCTCGGGGTTGTGGGATCAAGCCCCGTGTCAGGCTCTGCGCTGGGTGTGGAGCATGCTTGGGATTCTTTCTCCTCCCACCCCCGCTCTCCCTCTCTAAAAAAAAAATAAAAATTAAAAAAAATAAAAAATAAAAAAACTCCACATGCTTTGTGTTTAATACAGCTATACTTGTTATAAAATCCTATTGACACAATTTTTTGAGATGTGGTTAGTACTGTGTGTATTCCAAAGTGAGGAATTATTCATTGTCTCAACTTAGTTATGGTTAAAGCTGTAAAATTTCTGGAAAAAGAATTTCTGACAGCCATTATAATTAAAACTTGCTTGGTTTAGGAACTAACACATTTAAGAATATAATTTTTGTAGCTATTATAATTAAAGGTTTAACTTTTTTTAAAGATTTTACTTATTTGAGAGAGAGAGAGCGAGAGAGAAAGAGAGCATGAGCTAAGGGAGAGGCAAATGGAGAGGGAGAGGCAGACTCCTGCTGAGCAGGGAGCCCAATGTGGGGCTCGATCCCAGGACCCTGAGATCACTGAGATCATGACCAGAGCCGAGAAGAGACGCTTGACTGACTGAGTCACCCAGGTGCCCTATTATGCTCTTGAAAGCTTTTTGATGTAAATAATACCAGTTTAGAACTAAAAACCCTTTATCTTAAAAAAAAAAATCAATATTATGGTAAAACAATGGAAGTTACTAATGCCATGCATATTTTAAAAGGGTCCATTTAGAAAATGACATGAAACAGGTAACTCCAGTGTCATATAAACTGTTGTAGAGCTTAAAAAGATGGAAAGTGTTTCAGTTTATATTGAAAAGTTAACATAACTCAAGCCAAAGCCCCAGATAGATAGCACCAAAAAAAAGAAGAAAACTACAAATCAGTCTTTGTGAAATTAATAGTCAAAAAAATGCTAAATAAATTTTAATAAATCTTCAATGGCATTTTAAAAGAATAATATATCAAGACCAAGGCTTATTAGAAAGTTATGTAATCATCACATCAGAATATATCGAAGGTGAAAAGCTAGATGGCCATCGCAGTAAATGATTTGAAAATTCATGCCATTTACTGATTTCAGATTTTTAGGAATTTACGAATAGAATACTTTATTAACATAATTAATGTCAGAAGGCAATAGCCAGTATCATACTCAGTGATGAAATGCCAGAACCATTCCAAATAAAAAGAACACGAACATCTTTTTTTTTTTTTTTAAAGGTTTATTTACTTTAGAGAGAGAGAGTGCTCGAGTGGTTGGGGAGGAGGGACAGAGGGGGAGGGAGAGAGAGTCCCAAGCAAACTCCATGCTAAGGGTGGAGCCCGACGTGGGGCTTGATCCCAGGACCCTGAGATAATGACCTGAACTGAAACCAAGAGTGGGTTGCTTAACTGACTGAGCCACCCAGGTGTCCCCAATTGAACATCTTTAAAACAGTCTTAAAGTCATGAACCTGGTAGGTCTCCATTTATCAAAAAAATACTTTTAAGTCTCTAAAGTTCAGACATTTTCTTCATGGTAGTTTTACATATTTTTTACTAAGGTTTTTAAATATTTAATAGTTTCTGTTATTTTGAATAGGTCTTTTTTTTCTTTTAAGGGAGAAATAATACTTTAAGCCTTGTTTAAAAACTTTGTTTTCAGATACCGAACCCTAAGAGGGAGCATTTCAACGAGTATCCTCACTGATTGTTTGGTGCAAGTGGTCCACATGTTAACTGCGTGTGGCCTTAGGCAGTCCACGTTATTTCTGTGGCTAGGGTAGATCATGGAGCCATAAACCCGGGCTGCCTTCTCTTAGCAAACCTCAGAATCATCTCAGGGCGTTATACTTCATGATCTAGGTGTTTGTCAGTGGTCACCTAGCAACATTTAGATGACTATGGTTCTCATCATTGTTGATGACGTGGTTATTCATTCTCTTTCTCAGGGTCAGCTTTCTAAAGGCCCCATGATTTTGTTTTCTCTTGGAATTAAAACTAGGAACACCAATCTTAAGAAATTGCTACATTTTGGGGCACCTGGGTGCCTCAGTCGCTTAAGTGTCTGCTTCCAGCTCAGGTCATGATCTCGGGGTCCTGGGATCAAGCCCTGCATCAGGCTCCCTGCTCAGTGGGGCGTCTGCTCCATCTCCCTCTCCCTCTGTGCTCTCTCTCTCTCAAATAAAAAAAAAGAAATTGCTATATTTCATTTTATCAGGTTTTGAGATTTAGTCCATTAGGTTTTTCTTTTGTCTTACTGCGCTTGAGAAACTCAATGATTAACCACTATGCCTGTGTTTTAGCCATTGTGGTTATGTAGTTGATGTCTCCCTCTTTTTCTGGCTTTGGTTTTCTATTATTATTTATACTTATTATATTTTTATTTCATTTTAACAGCCTTATTTTAAGTACTTTATAAGCCATCACAGAGCCCATTTCGATAGGTTTTCTGCACATTCATTATAAATCACTACTATGAAGCTGCCTTGAAAGCAGTCATACTGGAAAACAGAATTCATCCCACAGATGTAGTTTTGAGAACTGTGTGCTGATGGCCTTCCAGAGTGAATGAGTGAACTAAATTGTTGCCTTGTTGGAAAAGATCTTTAGTGGCAGTTTGAATACTAGAAAAGATTTTGCCAGTACTAGCACTTAGACTTTCTAAACTGCTCTTTCTGACAATTTACCTGGCTTCAGCTGCTTCGTAAGTCTGTTTTCAGTCACATAATGAACCTATTACCAGTACAGATTTTCTGACTGTATCTGCGGTAGGCTTGGTAAAAGTGGTCCCTAAATAAATAGGAATAATTTGGGGCACCTGGGTGGCTCAGTCAGTTAAGCATCTGCCTTCAGCTCAGGTCATGATCTCGGGGTCCTGGGATCGAGCCCTGCATCGGGCTCCTGGCTCAGTGGGGAGTCTGCTTCTCCCTCTGCCCCTCCCCCTGCTCATGCTCTCTCTCTCTCTCTCTAATAAATAAATAAAATCTTTAAAAAATAGGAATAATTTATTACTGCATGTCTTAGTCACATGGATTTTATCTGATTTGACTTTCCTGTTCTGCTGCTCTTGTAGGCACTCTGACTGCTGTGGAAAGTTTCCTGACTCTACATTCCGGACCTGAGGTTAGTTTTTCTGTTTCTCAGGTGTTTTTTAAAGTTAACCAAAATATTTTGGAAATCATACATGCCTCCTAAAAAGATTTAGATGAATTAAATTTCATATATATTTGTAATTTTTAGGGTGTGAGAGTCACTATGTTTGATTTTAAAAAGTAAAGATGGTAGCTTGCTGGGAATTAGTTAGACTCAAAACAGAATTTTGTTAAAAACAGCTGCACAGGTCACTGTATTAGAATGAGTTACCATGATCCCAGCACCAAACTCTCTCTCATTGTTGTGTAGTAAACGCTGTCAGCCATTTCAGTCCTTACCTTAGTCCAAATCTGTGCACTTGTGTTGTGCGCCTCACTCACAGCCTGGTGCTTTCGTGGCCGTAAAGAGATGGATGATGTCATCACCAACTGTCCAGCCTGTTTGGGACATGAGACCTGAGATGGCTGGTTCCCAGAGGCCCACGTTTACGATAGGACTTTTATCATCCGTAGTGTTTGACCCAATTCTAGGTCTACACTTAAGGTTCTTTTTAAAATCCATTCATCCAGCAAGTCTTCTGTGGTGGTGCAGATATATATAGGAGTGCAAGGTAGTGTGACAAAGAAACGAAGATGCAAACCTTTCCTGAAGGAGTTAATAACGTAGCTTGGCAGGAGAGAGAGATGTTAAAGAGATCAGATAAAATACTGTAGGATTTTGAGAATGGAGAGTAAATCCAGCTGGGAGGCCAGAGGTAAGAGCTGTCTGGAGAAGCTGGGCATGGACTGAGTTTTGGAGGTTGGTGCCGTGGAGCTGGGCTAAGGGGGAGGGAGTAGCATTTTCAGGACATAGCTGTGGGAGGTATGGAGCGTGTGCGGGTAAGAGTAATGGTTCTAGTCGTCCAGATTGTGGGATCAGGTTAATAAACACAAAGAGCTATATAACACATGCTAAAATCCATGGTTACAGAGAATGCCCACTGGAGAATCAGAATAAAGGGAAATGATAGTGGGCCTGAGTAACTGGGGAAGGCTTCCTAGAGGCCTTGCAGAGTTTAGCTGTGACAAGGGAATGGCATTTGGAAGATCAGAGGCAGTCACCTGAACATAGGCTCAGAAGCAAGAATGGGATACGTACTTGAATCTGGGGAGCATGGGTAGAAACCCAGCTCCACCCGGTTTAAACCAGCAACACGAAAAGGAGCTGACTGATTCTGCAGGTGGATAGTGTGGAATTTACCGAAGTCTGCATTCATTTCTGCTGGGTCCCTTTGTGTGCCTCTCAGCATGGCATGGAAGGTGCTGGCGGTCCCAGGGGTACGCTGTCCTTAAAGTTCCTCATTTCCTGGGAACAGCTAGCAGAGTTGATTTATCACATGATAGGAAAGATCAGTCAAGTATTGGGCCATTCGGCTATTCTTGAGCCCATCAGTATGACCTGGTGTAACGGCGCAGTCAGATTGCCTAGGCCTGGGTCACAGGCCTCTGGAGGGGGGACCACAGAGTCAGGCTCGTCTCTCCAACATGGAACATGTTCCAGATAGGAAAGAGAGTTTTATAAGCAGTTTTGTAAGTACATACAGGGTTGCAGGGAATTGCTGCAGGACTGACAAAACCCAGATGTCACAACAGGGAGATTGTGAGAAAATTGGTAGAGGAGAAAAGAGGCTGCTTTTGAAAGAGCAGCAGGAGATGCAATTGGAAAGATGAGGTGATGTAAAGGGTCTTCCCTTTATTAGAGGGATAGAAGAGCCCCTGATGGTTCTTACTGAGTCGAGCCAGATTTTGAAGCAGGACTGCCTGCCTGGCCTCAAATTCTGGCTCTGCCACTTACCAGTGATATGAGCGTGGGCAAGTTCCACACTATCCTCACGGTGCCTCACTTCCTCCATCTGTAAGAGGAGATGGTAATAGTATCTACTTCGTATGATCGCTGAGTCAATGAGTATAAATCAGAACAGAGGTGGGCAGTTAGCAAATTGCTCAGTGAGTGTTATTAAGTATTATTTTTAATAATATTATTCATACTTAAAGTTGGGGCTTACCCCAGGACAAGAGAGTTGAAGCATCCATATGAGCGCAGCTCCCTCTCTCATTGCCCCTAAAACAAAATCCACAACCTGAATTTTACAAGGACTGGACAGAGTCTGTGTATCCCTAGTCACTGAATTGTCCTGCCCCTCCTTAATCTTTCTTTTTCCCTGGAGGTTTTTTATTTTACACACAAAATTGTACCACAGACCACATGCTTGAATTTCAGAGGATTGAAATCATACACTGTAGAATAGTCCTGTCTGTCTGGCCGGTCTTCCCACAGTGATGGAAATGTCCCGTGTATGCTGTGTGGGGGCTTATTGCATCGTGGCTGTTGCGGCTCTAGTTTTTTTTTTTTTTTTTAGAGAGAGAGCGTGCGCAAGCATGAGTGGGAGGGGCAGAGGGAGAGGGAAAGAGAATCTCAAGCAGACTCCGTGCTGAGCGTGGAGCCCAACATGGGGCTCGATATCACGACCCTGAGATCACAACCTGAGTGGAAACCAAGAGCTGGATGCTTAACCGACTGATCCACCCAGGTGCCCCCAGCCCATGGCCTTTTTTATATGTCCACAAGCTAAGGATGATTTTTACATTTTTATTTTTATTTTTATTTTTTTTAAAGATTTATTTATTTTATTTTATTTATTTATTTATTTTTTTTAAGATTTTATTTATTTATTTGAGAGAGAGAGAATGAGAGATAGAGAGCACGAGAGAGGGAAGAGGGTCAGAGGGAGAAGCAGACTCCCTGCTGAGCAGGGAGCCCGATGCGGGACTCGATCCCGGGACTCCAGGATCATGACCTGAGCCGAAGGCAGTTGCTTAACCAACTGAGCCACCCAGGCGCCCGATTTTTACACTTTTAAAGGGCTATAATAGAAACACAAAGATGAATATGTAGTAGAGACCATCTGTGCCTGTAAAACCTACAAGTTGGACCTTTCAGAGACCGTTTGCCAACCCGAGTGTGTTTTATTTTTTCTTTTTTTAAAGACTTTTTATTTATTTTTTGACAGAGAGACAGTGCGAGAGGGAACACAAGCACGGGGAGTGGGAGAGAGAGAAGCAGGCCTCCCGTTGAGTAGGGTCCCAGGACCCTGGGATCATGACCTGAGCCGAAGGCAGACGCTTAACGACTGAGCCCCCCAGGCACCCCTAGAGTGTGTTTTAGACTACAGTGCAGTTATACTAGAAATCAATGAAGAGATAACATGAAAATCTCTGTATATTTGCATATGATGAAATGTATTTTAAATTTATGTCATTAACCCAGACCTTTTTTTCTACACTCGGACTTAAAACATCCAATCACCTAGTTGACATCTCCACTTGAACCCTTGATAGATGTCTCAGACTGTGTCTTGTCCATACTGACCTCTTGTTTCTCCTTTCCAAATGTGCCCCAGCCTCAGGTCATTTGTATCCATTTCAGTTGGTAGTAGTGTGTCCTTCCACACAGATCAAACGGTGTGGTCATTCCTATCTCTGTTCTCTGAAACCCAGATCCTGTGTCAGGAAATCCTGTTGATTCTGCCTTCACGATATGTGAGAACCTGATCGCTGTTCACCATTTCTCTTTCTCCCACCTTATTCTTGCTACCACCTGTTCCTGTAGAGTCCATGCTCGACACAGCCAGGATGATCCTTTTCAGACCTCACTCGGATTGTGTCCTTCCAGTCATGTGCAAGAATAATATACATGACGTGGCCCCTGTCCCCTCTCCAGGCTCCTCTCCCACACGTCTGTGCGTTCTCCCTCATTTACACTGACCTTTGTGCCCTCCTCAAACACGCCAGCACACTGCAGCCTGTCTGCTTTTGTGCTGGCTCCCTCCTTTTCCTGAAAACACTTCTCAGAGATGTTTGCGTGACTGACACCCTCATCTCCTTCAAGTCTTTTCTCAAATGTCATTTTCCTGATGAAGTCCCATTTAAAACTGCAAACTTAATTCCTTTGCCCATCATTTTCACTTCATCATATCTACTCTTTTTCTTTTTTCCTATAGTACTTCACACCTTCTAAATCCTATGTATTGTATTTTTTATTGAGTTTGTCACCCTCTCTGGAATGTGAGCACCACAAAAAGAAGGATCTTTGTCTTTTTAATTCACCAAGCACCCAGAATAGTGCTGGTCACATAGTAGGAGCTCAGTAAGTGTTTGTTGGCTGACTTGAGTGGACAAGGCTAACTTAACCTTAATTCTAAAACCCTACAAGAACAATTCCAGAATGCAAAAGTCCAGTCCAGTTTCATGTTCTAGGAACATAGATGTAAAAATCCTAAATAAAATATTAGCAAATTAAAGGCAGTAATACATAAGAAGAATACATTTTTTAAAAAGATTTTATTTATTTTTTGACAGACAGCGAGAGAGGGAACACAAGCAGGGGGAGTGGGAGAGGGAGAAGCAGGCTTCCCGTGGAGCAGGGAGCCTGATGCAGGGCTCGATCCCAGGACCGTGGGATCATGACCTGAGCCGAAGGCAGACGCTTAACGACTGAGCCCCCCAGGGGTCCCAAGAAGAATACCTTTTGACCAAGTTAGTTTGAGAGAGGAATGGGGGGTTTAATATTATGTAATCGCTGTAATCCGCCTCACTAACAGGTTAGAGGAGGACAGTCTTATGATCATCTTGATAAATAGAGAAAAAGTGTGGTAAAATGTACTATCTACTCGATTAAAACTTACAGCAAGCCAGGAGTAGAAGGGAAGATTATCTTTTTTTTAAAAAAGCTATAATAAAGATGATACCCAGTGTTTAACATTGAAAACTTTTGCTTTGAGCTCAGGAATAAGACCTGGGTGCCCATTCAGCCAGATTGTAGCCAGAGCAGTAATGCAGGAAAAAAGAAACTATATAGGTGAGAAAGGAAGAAACAAGGGGCGCCTGGGTGGCTCATTCGGTTAAGTGTCCGCCTTTGGCTCAGGTCATGATCCTGGGATTCTGGAATGGAGTCCTGAGTCAGTTTCCCTGCTCAGTGGGGAGCCTGCTTCT